TTTGGCAAAAAGTGTTGATTCATTAGAAGTTCCCCTTTGTTAAAGAGTGAACCCAGGCCAGGCATGGTGGCTCACACCTGTAATCCCAGCACTTTGGGAGGCTGAGGTGGGCAGATCACCTGAGGTCAGGAGTTTGAGACCAGCCTGCCCAACATGGAGAAACCCCGTCTCTACTAAAAATATAAAAATTAGCTGGGTGTGGTGGCGGGTGCCTGTAATCCCAGCTACTAATGAGGCCGAGGCAGGAGAATCACTTAAACCCTTGAGGTGGAGGTTGCAGTGAGCCGAGATCGCGCCATTGCACTCTAGCCTGGGTGACGGAGCGAGACTCCATCTCAAAAAAAAAAAGAGTGAACCCAAGTGAACCCAATAGAAGACAGGCCAAGAGCAAACTGGGAGCTGGAGCTGGACTGAAGTTAGGGGAGCCCTGTAAAGACAGGAGACAGTTGTGCCCCTGGGAGGAAGCTGCCACCAATGCTGGAGGATGTCAGGTCCAAACATGCAGTGTTTGTTCCTTTGAGTCCCCATAGCTGTTTTCTACAGTGATTGGGAGGGAGATTAGACTGGAATCATCTTTGGACACTCCCTCCCTAAAGGGACATCGAATGCTTTCTGCGTCTCTCCTGTGTCCCTGCCGCCTCCTTGACTCACCGCAATCCGTGGCTGGTTGCTGGGATTAAGAAAACCCTGCGGTTACTCTGAGGTCTCAGAACTCAGTGAACCCGTATCCTCTCTCTTTTCTCTGGAAACCAAATCTTAGAATTTTTACAGCTGGAAATGACCCTTCTGCTCCTCGTCGCAGGTTTTCCCAGGCTCTTCCACTCCCTGGAGAGCCTTAGACTCTCAGCCTGGCCAGCTGGGTTCCCATGGGACTGCTGAGCTGCCAGTCATCACCAAACATGTTCACATCGCATGCTGTGAGCTGTGCTGTGCTAGTACTGTCAACCCTTCTCCACAGATGCTATCACTTCTGAAGTCATCGTGGCCAGTGAGTATGAAGCATTGACAGCTCTGTCCTGCACTGTCCACTTAGAGACATGGAAAGATGTATACAAAATGGTCAGTCCCTGCCCTCAGTGAGCTGAAATTCTGTTGATAAGATAATAATTACAAGTTATTGAGTGCTTGCTATATTTCAGTCCCCTAGTTTTTCACCTGGCGATTCACCGTGGTAAGAACTTTATTTGCATTTAGTGTAGTAATTAAATGCATGGGCGGAATCTGACTAATTTGCCAGGACCCAAATCCTGGGTCTACCATGAACCAGCTATGCATCCTTGAGCATTAACCTCTGAGAGCCTCAGTTTCCTCATTTGTAAAATAGAGAGTAATATCTGCCTTTCAAGAATGCTGTGAGAAATCAGTGAAACAGTGTTTGCAAAGCTCTTAACTCAAGTGACCAATCATATTGAGCTAGGGACTGTCCTGTTGAAGGGGGCATCTCTCTCTCCAACCCCTTCTAGCCAGCAAACTTCAAACCCCAGCTCAGAAAGAAGCCTGGAGAACGCAAGAGAATGAGCAGCTCCCGAGCTACTCAGAGCCTGCAGAACCTTCCTACAGCAACCATTCAGCTGTGGTTCTAAAGTGTTTCCTAACATTCATATGGCCCAGATCTGTCCTCTTCTTGCTTCTACTTAGTTAGCTTCCTTCAGAGGCAAAAATATTATACCAGAATCAGGAATATGCATAGCGTCCCAAGTTTGCCTCTTTTAAAAGTTGCCTCCTATAAGCTTGTATCCTTGGAGAGGCCACTGTCTGAACCACAATTTACCCATCTGTAAAACTGGTATATGATAGTCTCAGTAATACTTGATGTAAAATTTTGAGATTATGTACAAAAAATACTTAGTATATATATTCAATACATGGTTAGTATTATTCTTGCTATTTTTACTGACATATGAAAATGTTTTGTGAACCGCAAAACTCTGAACAAATGTCAAATATCATTAGCTATTCTTCAATTTTATCAGAAATCACACACAACACTCCTGGTGCCATGTGAAAAAAACACTCAGGGCATGGCCCTGCCTCCGTCTGGCAGCACATGCAGCCCATGGGCAGGATCCACAGCCTGCAGAAGACATGGGTCCAGCAGATATGTTCAAGTGGGTTCAAGCGGGTTCAAGCGATTACACGCCTTGCATCTTAGGGTCAAGTTCATTACTGGGATGGAGTTGGAAGAAGCAGTCTAGACAGGCTCCTTTCCTGCAATGATAACAGTTCCTACAGTCCTCTTGGAGAAGCACGGACTTTGGCTGTTAGGTAGCCGGTGTAGGATAAGGTAAAGGGGAGGTTGGAGCTGTTCTTGGGGCTATGCCTGTACCGCAGGCCCCAGGCATGGTTTTCATAAGCAGTTATCAGTAAGTGGACAATAACCACTTACTAAGGCTAAATGACATGCATGCCTGACAGAATGAAGCAACATGGAAAAGGGAATTTACTGATACTTTCTGGTTGTAAGTTATTTCTTTAGAAACATGAGGGCTCTGTTCTGCCCTGACAGAATGGAGGTTTTGGCTTTTAGGGGAATTCAAAATTCAAGAAAGAGATTAATCTAGGAGAAAATGATGACTTTTCTGAAGGGTGTGGGTAATAGTCACAAGAATGATGATACTAGAAATCGCGAGGAAAAGAGCATCCTCAGGGAGGCTATGCATCCAAAACAAATAGAGTTATCCTCAATATTTACTGCTGGCCCATGACCCCATACAAAAAGGGCACAAAGTACTCTACACACATCACTCATTTCGTTCTGTTTACAATTCTTGGAAGTCATTGTTATTGCTATTATTTACAGAAGAGAAAACTGAGGTTCAGGGAGATTAACCAATGTGCCCAGCATTGCCTAGCTAGCATCTGGTCAGAATAAGATTCCAATTGGCTCTTGCCACCTGGCTCTAGAGATTACACCCAAGGCTGACTGTGGCTATTCTTATGACATCAATCTGTAATGTCCACTCTTGTTTCCAAGGGTGGCAGAGACTGCTACTTGTCTTCTGATGCCTGTTCTTACCTTTTTAAAAAATAATAGAACCTTATAAAAATTAGCCAACTACGCAGCCACTTGGAATAAAGACATATTTTCCAGTGTCTCTACAGCTAGATGTAGCCGTGTGACTAAGTACTGGCCAGTGGGATATAAGTTAAAGCAATGTGTTCAATGTCTGGGAAGTGTCCTTAAAGAGAAGGCATGTGCCCTTCCCTTCCCCTTTTCTTTCTTTTTCCAGCTGGCTAGAATGCAGATGTAATGACAAAAATTAGAGCCACTGTCTTGGACCACAAAATAGAAATATTGAAGATGGCAGAGGAGTGGTATAGAACAAGGGCGGTCACTGATGACTGCAGAGTCACAATTACAAGTCTCGTCTGCCTCCCTACAACTTAATGTGAGATACCAATAAATCTTAACTTTGATTAAACTACTATAATTTAGGGTTTTCTGTCACTCAGTTGGATAGAGGCCTATCTATTGCACAAGACACCTCTGTTCTTTGCCCATACTACTTAATGTCATTGTTCCTTTCTACATTCTCTTCTTTTCCTCCTCTACAATTTCATCCAAATGGATTCAAATTACACATGTATCAGATTAATGACAGATCACCAAAGGGGCAGAAAGACAGCCTGCGACCTCAGGGGAAGGCAAGTATGGGTTGGGGCCAGGGTCCATACTCTCGGAGGCAACGTTCTTGGGCCTGACCAGCAGGGAGAGAGTGGCCCAAGAGCAGCTCTTCCTAGTCCATCAGTCTCCAGTCCATTTATGAGGCCAGGGATGAGTCTTGCCAACAAAATAGTCTTTCCAAGAAAATAAATTCAAGTCACCCTGCTCTTCTGGTTTCTCTCCTGCCATCATTCCCAGAAAGTCTGAAGTACACGATGTTGGCTGTCATGGAACATCTGTCTCCTGTCCCACCCAAAAGTACCAGATGCCAGGAGGGTCTGAGCCAGACTGAACTGGACTTTCCTCTCGTGCATGTGTCATCTTTGTTTATCTTCCAGGACAATCCATTTGAGCGTGGCTGCAAAGAGAAGTGATTCTTTCCTTTCCCATGGAAATGCTTCGAACACTTCCAGCATGGGGGAGATCTAAAAGTCCCCTGATCATTGAATCCTAGAGCTAGAGAGACTGCAGAGGTCATCTTGTCCCCCAAAAGATGGTAATCTTATAGCTAAAGGAAGCAGCCTAGTCAAATCATTTGTTATTGGAGAGCTGGGACCACTAGTAATATTAACAGCGACAACAACAGCAACAATTAGGGAGCTCTTTCTATGTATCAAACACTGAGCTGAGCGTTTAACACGGACTATTTAATCCTCACAGCAGCCTATAAAATAGGCTCAGGGAAGTTAAATAATTAGCCTGATTTTACAAGCTATTAGCTTGTTGAGTCAGGATTCAAATGAGCTTTATTTGTTGCTTGAGCCTAAACTAATCTCTTTTCACAGCATTATACTATGACCTGATTACGTGTCAAAACAAAAAAGGTCACAATTTCCCCTCTGTTGATCCCAACAGGAAAGCCCAGAGGCTCACAGAGTTGTTGTCATTGGGCTTTTTTATACACACTGCTGTCCTCTGGACCACCCGGGCACCTTGATACAGACGGTCCCCTCTGTGGGAGTTTAAGATCTACATTTGGCAGAAAGTTGGGCATCACTTCTATTCCCAGGCACCAATCTGCACAAACACTTTCAAGGTTCAGGCAAAAGCTCAATGTCAGGATTTCCCCATCCTGCCACCCACTCTCCCCTCACTGGTTTGTTTATTCAGTCATTCAAGAAGTCTTACTGAGTCAAATAAAACGGTGCCCAGCATTAAGGATAAGGATAAAGAGTTGAACCAAACATGATACCTACTTTTCAGGACCATTTCATTGGAGAGATGGACAATAAATAAATAATTGGCCAGGTATGGTTGCGCACACCTGTAGTCCCAGCTACTCAGGAGGCTGAGGTGGAAGGATCGCTTGAGCCCAGGAGGTCAAGGCTGCAGAGAGCTATGACGGCACTATTGCTCTCCAGCCTGGACAACAGAGCAAGAGTCTGTCTCTGAAAAAAATTAAAGAACAAATAATTATCTAGTGGCAATTGTGAAAGTGCCACAAAGAAAAAGTTCATGGCACTTATGACTGTATTAAAGGACACACCTGGTGAGGAAATGGAATGTGAGATGGATAGAAACTTGGTAAATTCAAGAAACTGAAAGAAAGCCAAAGCACCCAAGCAATGAGTAGGAGTCAGATCATTCAGGGCCTATAAGGCTGTGTTAATAACATTAGACTTGACCCTAAGAATGGTGCACAACTGTAGAGTTCTATACAGGTGAATGACAGAATCTGATTTGCATTGATAAACAATCGCTTCAGCAGTTGAGTGCAGAAGACATCAGAGTAGAGGCAGGGAGGCGTCTTAGAGGTCATCACAGTTATCCAGGTGAGGGACAAAGGAGTAGGGCTGAGGAGGGAGAGAGGTGGATGGAACTGAGGGAGCTGACAGAGCCAACAGGAGCTGCATGTGAGAGTGTGGAACTCAGAGGACCAGGCTTATCTAGAGATGCACCACCGGGAGTCGTCATCTTCAGAGAATATTTGAAGGCATGAAAGTGGTCGAGATCTCCCAGAGGGAAGTAGCGTAGGAAGAAAAGGTAGTCTAGGATCAAAACCTAAGGAACTCTAACATTGAAGATTTGGCAGAAGAAAAAGATCCCTCAAAGGACACTGAGGGAATGAATGGCCAGAGATGTGGGAGGCAAACCAGGAGAGTGTGGAGTCCCAGAAGGCAGCAGAGCCTTCCAAGAAAGAAGGAATGGTCAGTGGAGCTTAAAACCCCATCGTGGACAAGAGAGATGAAAGATGAGCGGCGTGGGCTTCCGGGTTGGCGAGCGCACCTTGGGGAGGCGGTGGGACAGGAGAGGGCGTGGAAGTCCTGCCTCCCGCTGGCTCTCTCTGGGGATCTCTTCCAGCTCATCTGGCTGCTCCTGAGTTGTAGTCTCCCGAGAATATGTTTAATTTATTTCATTAATAAGACATGTAATGGCACTTTAAAAATTTCAAAATTCAGGAAAAAATCAAAACATTGCAAGCTAAAATTTTACAATTGAAGATTTTTAGAGTATTGTTGTTAACTGAAGAATCTGAAAGAGATGGACTTAACAGAGAAGCAATCGCAATTAAGAGTTTATATTTTAAATATTACTTCCTGAATATGACTCCACTACTTGAGAAACTTTCCAGCTTAAAGATGTATACGACGGCATTGGCTGTCCTTATTTTTAAATCTGTTAACATCACCTGAGAGTGTTCTATAAAATTGAGAATGTGATTTTCCTAACATGTAGTCATGTGTATCTTACTGAGTGAGAGTTTTGTTTAAATATCATTCCTGAATAAGGATTAAAATATATCTACCATTATACATTTATGCTTCATGACCAAAGACAATGTCAAGTATTTTAATGTGGTTACATTTAGCCAAAATGGGAATTGCTGTTCAATGGGTATAAAGTTTCATTATGCAAGATGCATAAGTTCTACAGATTTGTTGTACAATATTGTCCTTAGTTAACAATACTGTATTGTGCACATAAATCTTTTCAAGTGGAAAGATCTCATGTTAAGTGTTCTTACCAAAATAAAATGAGTTAATTTAACCTCTTTATAACTTTAATACATTCTAGTGATTCTAGATTTCCAGAAAGTAAAATAATCTGTGAAACTGCCCATACTCACTGTTATTAACTATGCATTCTTTTTCTAGTGCTTGTATCAGCCACAAAGATTTTGAATAATTAGATATACCTTCTATTTTGAATAGATAGAGTTGATATTAAAAATAGAACAGAAAAAAGACAAATAATATTCATAGGGGAAGGCAACATAATTATCGCCTGTAGCAAAACTATTTCAGTAAAATGGTGACAGTGGAAGCCAAATTGGAGTGATATACAGAGTGAATTAAAGGTAAGAATGTGGAGACAGCCATTTCTACAGACCCTGTTTCATTCCAGACTTATCCTGGGTTAGCTCTGGCTCACAACACATCCAGGGTCACCCTAATTCTCACCTCAGTTCCATGGGAAGAAAATGTCAGAAGATTGGAAGCAAAGCATCCTGGCTCTAGTCCAACCCCAAGACTAAGAGAAATGATTGGAGAAGTAAAAGCACTAAATCTAAGCTCATATGAATTGGGTCAATATTTTTTTAAACCTTGCAATATTAAGTTATCTCATAAAGTTCTATGTAGGTAATTTTCTAATAAGCTAGGAGTCAACTACAAGCTCAGAAAAATAGAGGTAACTTGATGCCAACAGAATTGGGGCAAGGAGGTGTGAAGGAAGCCAAGGGGAGCAAGGAGGGGGAATTAAAGAACCTGCCCAAAGACAGGATGTGATTAAGCAGAAGTAAAGCCATCACAACTGAACAACAGGAGAGCCAGTGACACCTGGCAGAAGCACTCAAGGTGAACAGGGGCGTGAGAAACTTATACCATGTTGGGTATAAGTTATAGTGACAGAGTCACTGCTGGCTGGAGTCTGGGCTTTTAACCACATGCATACAGCCCCAAATATCTCTCGCCTCCCCGTGAGCTATCATTAGTCTCATTTTACATATGAAGACTTGCCTTGGACACACAGACAGTAAGTGGTAGAACCAAAATTCTGTCCCAGGCCACTTGACCCAGGGCCTGCAATGCCGTTCTGCAAGATGTGAGCTCGGCCAACCTCACTCCTTCCTGCTGTGACGAATCATTAATCAGAGGTAGAGACTGGACCTCTATAGACCCCAAAGTCAAAGCAATGTGCCGTTCTCCTAATCATATCATCTTCCACAGCTGGGGTCTCAGGGGGAGGCAACCCTCATGAGGTCACCAAATCACTCACTCAGCCCTGTTTCTACTCCTGATACAGCAGAAAATTCCTCAGCATAGCTTTCCTGCTGAAACATCTTTCCATCACCTTAAGATCATACCTTTTACAGGAACTGAGCACCTAAAGCATCTCCAGAAGCAAACCAGAAGTACCAGTTGGTGCAGAGAGAGAAAGTAGTTTCTTAACACCCACCCTACTTCCCCACTTGGTGTGGCATTTGGCCTTTAAGGGTTTTGAATCTTCCCACGTATTACAAAGTTTGCGCAGTGGAGAAGAACAAGGGAGGGGAGCGAGCATCCATCACATGTAATTGCATAACATCTCTGACAGAAGCCACTTTTGTCCTCATTCATTGGTCAAACACTCACGATGACCCATGGGCTCTGACATGCAAACAGCAACCAGACTCCATGCAGACTGATGGAACAGGAAGTCAGCCCGAACTGGGTACTCATGTGCAGCTGGATTTGCACATCATTGTGTGTCTGTGTGTGAAGTTGTGTGTGTATCCCTAAGAGACAGCTTGCAGATTCTCCAGCCTTGACCGCTTGCTTCCTCTGATCTACCCTTCTGGGTACAGGTTGGTGCTTGAGAGAGCGGGACAGAAGCATCTCATTCTGCTGAGTGTCAGGCAACATGAAGCATGATGTCTGGGAACCAATTCAGTTTGTTTGCATCTTTATTTCAACTGAAGCTCTTCTGTTCCCACATGCCCCAGGGATGAGGTTCTCGAGCGTCCCATGGGGTCTGCTGGAGTTATTTTCACGGTTGCTAAGCAATGCCAGGCCTGCTTCAAGCCTGGTGAGCTCACAGCTATGCTGGGGCAGTGTCTGCTGGTGATCTGGGTTTAGCATTATAACAAATGTAAAGAGAAAGGAAAGGTGTGTGGGCAAACAGCACACGTGAGAAGTGACAATGTGATGAAGGATGAGTCGATGTGGGACCTAGAGCCAGGAGAAGCAGTGAGCACCATGGGTAGCATCTACTCTTTCCAGGTATGAACTAGGCACCATGGCACACACGAGTTCATCTAACAGGGATGGCACAAAGGCAGGAGAGGCAGCCGCACAAGAGCAGATGCTTGTCCTCTTGGTCACTGTTGTATGAGCTATGAGCTCATGCAGTGCCTGGCACATGGAAAGAACTGAGGAATTATGAATCAACTAGATGAATCACAGTGTTTAAAAGCAGGAAAGAGCTGTAGCTGTCATCTAACCCAACTTTCTCATTTACTATATGAGAGAACCACTTGGAGAAACTCCCCAGATAAACCCTTCAGTCTAGTCCTCGTACACACCTACCTCAAAAGGAGCCCACCAGAAGAACAGAAAAGTTGCAAAAAGAAGAGGGTAGTGGTATTTCAACACAGCCCTTCCCAAGGCACAGGATCTGGGCATCCACTGGTGACCAGGAAGAAAAATGGGAATCATGCCTGTCTGCCAAGGCTTGCCAGGGCCTCCCATCCCCACTGCTACCACCCCCTGCCCTGACACCTCGGGCCTGGGCTGCTGCCACAGGTGCTAACTATTCACCCAGCCTTCCTCCCTTGCTGTCTCTCTCCCAGACTGTTCTGATAACACAGTAGCACTGGTCCCTCTTCCAGCACCCAGCCCTTCCCACCGGCCTGTCTGGGCTCTGTCCCAGCCCCACCAGCCAGCCCTCCTCCTGCAGACTGTACACCACCGCCCCATGTTCACCCAGCTTCATTCGCCCAGAGCCCCAACACCTGCTGCCCTTGCCAGACAAGACCTCCCTGCGCTGTCCACACACAGCTGATGCAGAGTTGACCGTGAGCCTTTGACAAGCACCCCAGGCCTTCCCTCTGCGGTCATGACTTCCCTGAAGACTCTGCTCCCCCAGGAAGCCATCCATTTCCATTTTCCTCAGGCTGATCACTTTTGTCATTTGGATTTCTCATGAAATTTTTTTTAATTGTGGTAAAAGAAATGTAACATAAAATTTGACATTTTTAACCATTTTAAGTGTACAGATCAGTGGCATTAAATACATGTACATGGTTGTGCAAACGTCACCACCATCCACCTGCAGAACCATTTCATCCTCCCACACTGAACTCCATACTTATTAAACAACAGTTTTCCACACCTCCTTTCCTCCAGCCCCACATATAATGGAATCACGTAATGCTTGTTCATTTGTGTCTGGCTTATTTCACTTAGCGTAACGTCTTTAGGTTCATCCAGGAGGTAGCATGTATCAGAATCTCACTGCTGTTTGAGGCTGAGTAATACCCCATGTATGTGCCCGCCACACTTCGTTTATCCATTCATCCGTCAATGGGCATTCGGGCTGTTTCTGCCTTTTGGCTATTGTGAATAAAACGCTGCTATGAACATTGATGTATGAATACCTGCTGGAGTTCCTGCTTTCAATTCTTTCAGAAGTAGATTTGCTGGATCATGTGATCATTCTATTTAATTTTTTGAGGGCCTGCCATATGGTTTTCCATAGCACTGCACCATTTTACATTCTGAACAGCAATGCACAAGGGTTCTAATGTCTCCATGTCCTTGCCAATGCTTGTTTGTTTTGTTTTTATTTTTGATAATAGCTCTTCTAATGACTTTGTGTAATTGTGGTTTTGACTTGCATTTCCCTAATGATGAGTGATGCTGAACATCTGTTGATGTGCTTATTAGCCATCTGTATAATCTTTGGAGAAACGTCTACTCAAATCCTTTGTCTGTTTTTTAATTGGGTTGTTTTTGTCATTGAGTTGTAAGAGTTTTTTTTTTTTTTTAATATTTTCTGGATATTAATCCCCTATCAGATATATGATTTGCCTATTTTCCTCTATTCCATGGGGGAAGAGTGCCTCTTCACTCTGTTGATCATGTTCTTTGATGCGCAAAATTTATTAATTTTAATAAATCCAACTTACCTGTTTTTTTCTTTTGTTGACTATGCTTGTAGTTTCATACCTTTAAAAATCATTGCCACATCCAATGTCATGAATCCTTTCCCCTATGTTCTCTTCTAAGAGTTTTCTATTTTTAGTTCTTAAATTTAGGTCTTTGATCTATTTTGAATTAATTTGTGTATGTAGTGTTAGGTAAGGGTCCAACTTCATTATTTTGCATGTATCCAGTGTTCCCGATATT